AAACAAAGGATGTGCTTAAGGGGAGAAGGAAAGTCTAGTGAACATCTGCTCTGCTAAACCACATCAAGCTGAGGACTCCTCATTGCCCCCCCTGATGAGTTTTTCAATCTCAGCCTTTTTTTGGGCTGCTGTAAGCAGCTTTCTCCAAGACATATCTGCCCTGGAGGAAGGTAGCCCAAAGAAAGGTCAATGCAAACTTACCCTTGACTTTTAATTATGAGCACAGATAGAGCCATGGAGGCCAAGCTGCCTTCAGCAAGGCCAGTCCTGGAAAACAGAGCTAGTTCAGGATACAATAAATGCAGTTTCATCAGGAGACTTCTCAGGAGCCCTTTGCCCACCACAAATGCTATGAAGGAAATTTGGGAGCAGTTTCCACTATCAAGGAAGGGCCAGGTGGGATTTTGGTTGAGACAGCACTGAAGAACCAAAGGTGAGCAAGGTGGTTTCAGCTTTACTTTTAAGAAAAGAGAAGGAAAAGGCTGGCAAACAACTGCAGAGTGGCTTGGAGATGATATGGCTCACAAAGATAAATGTTAAATATGAAAGAAAAGTAATCTGCAATGAAAAGTGAAGAGAGCAGAAACAGCTAAAAGGAAGCAGGTGGTAAGAAGGCACCTTCCTCCTACTGTTACCCTCATCATTTTGTGGGATTTGCATCTTGTCCTCTCCCTTTATTCCAGTTGAACTGGAAAGAGTTGGGAAGGAGCTGTCTGTTCATACCTGTGTGTTACAGTTAACCTAAAGCACAGCTATATGGGCTGAAGAAAGTTAACTCCATCCCAGGCCAGTCTATCTTGGTGACAGGCATTTCAGATGAAAAAACCCTTTGCAGAAGACCCCAATCAATCAGGTACCCCCTGAGGAGGTGCACACAAGGATTCCCTCCCCAGCAGATGATGTGTTGCTTAGGGAAGCGTGGTTGTGGCACGACCTGTGCCAGACCCAGCAGAGGAAAGCCTTGCTTGGCAGGCAGCTGGGGACACACACTCACCCAAGTGACACAGAGGATGTGCACGGGCAGCCTGCCAAGAAGCAGGGGAGCCAAAGGACAAGTGAAGGAGAGCAGTCAGCTTTCAACACACAGAATGTGCAGCTGAGCTGCTCTACGTGCAAAGAACTGCCTCTGGAAAACAGCAATAGAGGGTTTGAGAGTTGCAGAGGGGGGAGCTGGGGCAGAAGCAGAGGGTTTTTTTCTTGTTGCCACCATCCAGTATTCTACAGCCACAAATTACATTTGGCTTCCTTTTTTTTTGGTCCCTGTCAGTGCAAGGAGAACACTGCAAGCTCTTTAGGATGAGAGAGAGGAACACTGCAGCTTGCTTATCTTTGGGATCTTGATAAATAAAAAGTGACTATTAGAAACACATTATTAGCACACTTGCTGTTCCCCTGAACATGCTGGATGATCAGAGGCAAGGGGAAAGCAGCTACTGCAGACTGAAAACTGCTGAAGGTTGCCAGGGAGGAAGCAGTTTGGGGCCTTCCATCACCAGCCCACTTTGGAAGGACCATGAAGCCCCAAGGCTTGAGGAGCCCCAGGTCCTGATTTTGTCCCCCAGGTCTTGATTTTGTCCCCCAGGTCTGGTGTTAGTTTTCAGAGCACACAACTCCATTCTCTCTACAGCCTGAACTTGCCAAATGGCTGAGTGCACAGCTCACCCCCAAAGTGAGCTCTGCTGACCCAGCCCTTCCATGAGCAGCACTTAAACAGGTAACAAAATCAGCAGGAGCAGGGAGATGCACAGTGCAACAACAGCCCATCACCTCTCTCTCTTAGGTGATGCTCAAAACTCAGGCAATATTACCTCCTCCTCCCAGCCAATACATCTTTTCTGTGTAAATGAGCCATGAATAATGTGAACACTTACCATTAATACAAAAATTTGTACCACAGTAAACTAATAAACACTGTTCTCAAATTCATATGCATTAATCTCACTCTCAGTGTTCATATATACACTGGCATAGACACGTGCACATCAACACAGACACATTCTCAGAACCTGGGTGGAGTAGAAAAACAGTACAGAGAGTAGTTCCATGTCCTTTGCAGTTGTTTATTCTGCACCCATTCTCATTTCCCTCCCTTGATGTTTGCAGAAATCAGCCACCCCTGGGAAGGACAGGACAGGCTGGTGAGGATTTCAAGCAGCAGAAGCTACAGCAGGACACAGACACTGTAGGAAATGCAACCACAGATAAAGCCCCTCAGGGTGTCTTTGAACTTTGGAGCAGGTAGAGACCAAACAAGATCATCTCACTCTGGAACATACAAGTTCAGAAGAAAGTGAGAGGCTAAACCCCCCAAAAATACTGAATTTCCCTTAATGGAATGGAATTACTAGAAATGGTGGAATCTAATACACAGTAGGTCTCTTCCTACACTTAAAATTTCTGCTTTCCCAGAGCCATGTAGCCAGTTACTGCTTTTGAAGCCACAGGCAGCATTCCAGAACTTATCTACCCTGTGGACACAAAAGACTACAGCTTGACATGAGGAATAAACCCTCCCCATCCCTGGCTATCCATCACTCACACACCATTCTCTCTGCAGACATCTGTAGAGTTTCTTGTCCTCTAACACATGAAATTTGGAGCCTGGTGTTAAACAAAAAACCCACTGCTTTGTCAAGAAATCAATTCTCAGTAAAGCCTTCTAGTTACCTCTGACTAACAACACTCCAAACCCCAAACTGCTGCTGACCAGGAGAGGATATTTGTGAGGCATTGCTATTGCTTGTCCAGATCTAGCAGCTTGCCCAGGTGTCCCCTGCTAGGTGACACTGTACCTGACCCATGCAGCCCACCCCAGAACAGCAGTGACTGAATTTCTGTGGTATTTCCACTTCCCATTGCTTTGCAACGAGTACAAACCAGGGATGCTTGATGTCTCTCTCCAAACTGGCTGGAAAAGCAAAGCTTCCAATTAAATCCAGTAATAAACTCTCCTCTTTCTTCCTCAGATGCTTGGTACTGCAGCTGAATGCTGGGAAGAACAGAGCTGATGTTTTCCTCCCTCCCATGGCCCCAGCCTCTGCTCCCCAGGGAGGTTGAGCTGCACTCTGGTCTCTTCCCTACCTCCCCAGATGAAAACTTCACATCTTTCATGAAACAGATCCACTACAGAGGTTTCTGTTTGTATCAGCTTGATATCTGAATTGAGATATTGAGTATGCCCACCAACAGTATATTAACACTACCTAGAATCCTATTGTCTTCTTTTTTCAGGCAGATCAATTATTTCACTGAAGTATCACAGTAGAAAGTGGTTTAATAGATTAAACAAACTGGTTTGGTAGATAACACATTTATCTATGTAAATATATTTTTATATATAAATATAGATACATAAATAACACATAAAAAAACATGAGACAATCTTTTTGAATACTTACAGAGTAAGATCCACAGGTGATGTCCACCAGAGCTGCCTCCAAGCACTTCAGGTAGCTCATTTCTGAATCCCAAGGTTACACTACTCTTAAAAACAGGCATTTGCTTTCATGATCTCTCAAAACAATTCCAAACCTCTGCACTGATAACTGCACCAAAAGGCAGCAAGTCATCTGATACAAACTCCTTTTACTGCCATTAAAATTCCTGCTCCTTTGAACCTGTAAGAAATTGTTCACACATTTTTCATATTTTGTTTACTCTCCTTGAAATTTTGCTTTTGGCTTTAAGGACTAATTTTAGTTAAGTTTCTATTCTTACACATCTTTGATTATTAATACTGTAATATAGTGTGGGTAAGGAGGTTGTTTAGAAGGCATTAAGTAGATTCAGTTCCTACTACACCAGCTCTGGGCCTTTAAACTATCAGCTGCACACCAAATGGATTCCTTGGTTGCCACATACTTTGATTTAACTGTTCTTCAGGCTATTTCACCAAAAACACACAGAATTAAAAGGTCCCATACCACTCTAATACCTTAATTAAATCCACATGCCTACTTACTTTCGAGATACTTAATAACACAAATCACTCATTTTTCTTCTTCATCAAGTAAAACAACCAGAAATAACATTTCCAGACTCCTGTCTTTGGAAAGGGGTACCCTATGTATAGAGGAGATTGTACACAGCCAACTTCTCACCCTACAGCCATTCTTCACCCTTTGTTAAAGGAATAACAGGGGCTTTAGAATTACCCTGATGGCAAAACACTGATTTTGGGGAAGTCTGTCACTTCTGGAGCTCAGTGTTCTACATTCCTCTCCAAGATGGAAATGACTTTACCTTGGCTGCCTCCACCTACTCAGCTACATTTAACAGTTCAGGCAGGAAATGCTGAACTAACAGCTAGATTTGCCTCCATTCCAGCCCACTATCTGTACCAAAAAAATATTTCCATTTGCCATTTTTAGCCACATCAAGTCACTTTTGTCTTATTGTTCCTCCTCCTGATTTAGACAGAATTAGGCTGGTATGTTTAGGAAAAAAATGACCTCCTTATGAACCTACAACATTATCATTCCACACAGATTTTAAAAGTAAAAAAAAAAAAACACCAAACCAATAGTTTAGAAGCAAACCCACGTACTAGAAATTAATTATACTCTCAGAATTATTCAGTGCTTAACAAATCCATTCAAACTAGTTATCTCTGCAAATCCACTGAAGGTTATTCAATAAAAGCAGTTCCAAGCACACCCACAAGCCAAATTTTGCATTCTGGAACAACAGCACCACAGTCAGTTGTAAGAGAGCAACTAGGATCAAACAATAATCAGGTTTAAATTCAGAGTGAGTTTAATTTATGTTAATTTTCTACAGTGCTGCCAAAAAAACTACTGAAATACCCTACACTGGTTTAAAGTTTATCAGCCTACCTACCTCAAAACCACAAGACTGTTTCCCCACATTTCATATAATCCTTTGAAGTCCTTAGTTCCTGATTATATGATTTCCCATCTCAAAATGTCACCACAGATAAGTCTTCAGTAGTTCCTGATAAATCTAGAGTATCATCAGCCAAGAAAACAGCATTTAAAACAAAACAAACAAAAAAATAGTAGAATTTTTGGGAGATAGTTTATTAATGTACAACATTATTAGCCATGTACAATAAGACATTTTAATTCTCTGTGTTTTGTCTCCTTGAAGTCAATGCTTGCTCAAGATATAAAACTAAACAATGCTTTTTTTTTTTTTCTGTAAGGACTGGAAATCTTGAAAAATCTAAATGCTACAGTATATTTTGTAGTGATTCAACATGTTGCCCAAAAGAATTACCAGCCACTTCAGTGAAGCACTTCTAAAACTGTTTCTGATCACATTCAAATGCATCTGTTCATAAATAATGATTGGTTTGCTCCTATCCATTATACCCCTAAGTACAACTGCCTCCAATATAAAACACCGTTTTCATACATTCCTCCACGTGGACAACTAGATCATCTAGTCATATTTACTTCTCACCAAGGCTAATACAAATTTACAAGTAAAAGAAGTTCAGGATTTATTCAGAATAATCATTTTCCAACCAGAAGCTTTGCTTTGGACAATGCAGCAGCATATGGCAAGTGACGTTCAGCAGCAGAAGCTGGAGGCTTGAGAACAACAACTAAGGAGGGCTAAATATCAGCAACACAGGTTTTTACAACAACTCTGGCCATTCTGAATGTTAACATTAAAAAGCAGGGACCTCCATGTGTGCACCTGTCAAACAATCAAAACCTCCACACAGAAAAAGGAAGAAATATCCCAGATACAGGACACAGTATTGCAGAGAACGTGGTAGACACTGGAGTGAGGTTTCTCAGCTCAAATTGGCAACTGGAATTTAACATCCACCTGAGCCTGTTTTGCCAAGCTTACTATTTCAGAGAGTTTCACCACCTGGAAAAGAGAAAATAAAGACTTAACTTCAAAACAATCCTAACTTGAGTGAGCTGAAGCAATCTTTTTACACAAAGTGATGCCAGAGAATCAGCAGCAGCACCTAAAAAGGGGGGGGACTATAACTTAATCCAGTGCTTCTTATTTGCTGAAATGGAAGATGAGTCAAGTCTTTCAGAAAACATCTCACACAGCTTTACAATGACTGATTCTCATTTACAACCAAACATCCTGATAAAATATTACAAGAATTAAACTTTATGTGCCACCTGGTTTTCTTGGGAGGTGTTGGGGTACCCACTCACAAGAGATTCTATAGAGAGAAACTATTTCTCCTCTGAGTTTTTATTGCAAGCATGTCTGGATCTTATTTTGACACCTTATGGAGCCTCAACTTCTCTTGCATAACAACTCAAAACCTTTATGATTCTATCTCCTGATATAACCAAATAACTGGTTGGTTAGGAAAAAAAATTAGAACTATCACTTTCCCAATGACACAATATCCACCAGATATGGCTTTCTGCAGACCAAAAATTTTCATCTCCACTGTTGTTACACATTTGTAGTATGTTTTCCTTGTTCACATTACCTAACTTGAAAAGCACCTAAAATACTAGTTTGCTAGAATAATTTACAGACATCTGTTGAATATTTAGGTAGAAAAAATACTTAAAATACTTAAAATACACCTAGAGGAGTGACTAATTTGGTTGTTCACCTTTTTGTTTGAGGTTTTTTAACCTGTTTTTTGGAAGGGGAACAAAAAAAAACCCAAAATATCCCAAACAAAAAATTCTGGGATGTAATAGCTTCTGACTGTGGAGTTCCTCTCCTTACAAAAATATGTACTAATTTGTGAGCATTTGCTTCAGCTCTGGTCATACCTGGCACTGTGATCTATCCAAAGCTACTTTCAGTCCACTGAATGGAGCTTCAGCTTGTCTATATTCTGCCACAGATACTATGTTCCAAAAAATATATTTGCAATCAGCTATCTTACCATTTTTGCAGCTTCATCCAAATCATCACAGGCAAGGATTTTCAGGCCACTGGCTGTTATTAAAGCTTTGGCATCATCAACTCGTGTCCCTTAAACAGATAAAATGACACTTATTGACCAGGAGACTACTACTACCAGATTATTCTCCTATTTTTCTAGGAAGCCTGTTCCAAAAGTGAGTTAGTGAATAAATCTAAACGACAACTGCTTTAGTAGATATAAAAGCAGGAAATCTTCTTTTTTTACTAACTTGCCAATCCTCACCATTTAAATTCAAGCTTTGCCTTATTTTTTCATAGCCTTCAGCTTACAGGCAACTTGCTATGCAATATATAAGCTCAAGAATATTTGTCAATATGGAGAGAAATACATTGAACATGTACTGAAGCCCACTCACCTTGCAACCGTACCACAATAGGTATTTTTAGCTCCAAATCCTTCACTGCCATAACGATGCCTTGTGCTATCACATCACACCTCATGATGCCACCAAAAATATTCACCAAAATAGCCAGTACCTACAGAATGAATGGCAATATTCATGTTAAAAATGGCCAGAGGAACAGCAGATGAAAACACCACTCGGTCTTTCAGCCTATGGAAAACTTCCATTTCCACAGGTGTCTTTGAAAAGACAGGGAATATTTTTGTTCTTGAGGACATCAGCAACAAAACTACAGTTCAATAAAGTGACACACAGCAGAACAGTTACTTCAGGAAGACCCTACTGCAAAAATGTCTGTCCCAGGAAAATTCCACCTTGTCCTTCAACCCAGCAGGAGTTACAGGCAATAGCCATTTCTCTTCCTCACTGGGTATTCTGTGTAGCTACTTGAAAAGACACACTCATCTTCTGCAAAAAGCCAACACTGTGCATCACAATATTCTGAGCATGATTAATAAAGAGAGATGTTTGATTTTCTTCAACCAAATCAAACAGATGAAACTTCAGTAATGACTGCAGCACTGTTGGATTTTGAGCACCAGGACTCCCAGCTACAGTCATCATTTTTAGGCAAAACAGTGAGCAGCTAAAGAAAGGCAGGAAGGGAAAGATACATTAAGAATTCTGTTTGGACACCCTCTGTCTATGCATCAGCAGAGAATTGGCATTGCAAGAACCTGTCCCAAATCAATGAGCCTTAAACTCTTCCTTGTTTCTTCTCCTCTTTTCGCTCTAATTCAGCTGCTCTGTGTCTGTGGCCCCCACTTTTCCCTCAATTTGCTGAAAGAATATGAAGAAAGAAGAACTCCTTTGAGGAGGAGCATTGTTTAGCCTGTAGAAAAGGAGGTCATGGGAGACTTTATCACTCTCTAAAACTACCTGAAAGGAGAGAGGTGGGGGTTGTTCTCTTCTCCCAAGTAAGAATCAACAGGACAAAAGGAAATGGACTCAAGCTGTGCCAGGGGAGCCTTAGATTGGGTATTAGGAAATACTTCTTTACCAAAAGGGTTTTCAAACACTGGAACAGGCTGCCCAGGGAAGTGGTTGAGTCATTATCCCCAGAGGTATTTAAAAGGCATGCAGACATGATGCTTAGGGATGTGGTTTAACAATGAACGTGCTTGTGCCAGGTTTATGGCTGAATTCAGTGACCTTAAAGGTCTTTTCCAGCCTAAATGACTATGATTCTATAACACTTAGACCCAGCTGCAAAATGAGCCCAGAAGAAAAAAACCACACAAACACACAAGCATCTGAATACTAGCTCCTGAGTTTCTCTTTCACCAGCAAGCAGTGGAAGTTTATGACTCAAAGATCTCTGGAAGGATTCAGATACAGCTGTTAAGTTCAACCAGAGGCCACAAAACTGCCTTTTCAGTACACAACCAAAGAACTTATTTTTGAAAAAAGGAAAAAAAGCTTTCAGGCCTTCTTCATTTGCACCAAGGTTAAGCAAAATTCTCCTTCATTTGCACCAAGGTTAAGCAAAATTCTCCTTTTTCTTCCTTTTTTTTCATTCTGTGCTTATAAAAACATGTTCTGGAGATCACACACTAAGCACTGTCTCAAATCATAGTCAGCTTTACCATTCTGTAAGACCTTCATATGCCAACTCCTCCCTCACCTTTTTATCAGAGGTAATAAGCTTAAAGGCTTCTGTCACTTGCTGCACTGTAGCACCACCACCAACATCAAGGAAATTTGCTGGGGTTCCACCATGAAGTTTGATGATATCCATCGTGGCCATAGCTAAACCAGCACCATTGACTAGGTGAGAATAAAAGACAGCATTTAGGAATTGGGTTTACAAATCCCTTAAGTCATTTAAAATTCATTAATTAGAACATACCTAAACAGCCTATGTTTCCATCCAACCCTATGTAGTTGAGATCTGCTTTTGCAGCATCCCTGTCTCTTTGATCTTCCTGTGTCCAGTCCTGCATATCAAAGATCTTCTTCTGACGATAGGCTGAATTGCTGTCAAAATTTATCTTGGCATCCATACACATCACTGAAAGGGAAAAAAAAACCCAAATCATCATTTAATACTAGAGCAGCTCAACTGCTACATGAGTATGCTAAAGTAGGTTGAGTCAAAACAACTTGGCAGCTAGCTCATGTAGTCCAAACTTGAAAGTTCTGCAGAAAAGATACACTTGGCACTGCATGTAAAGATGAGATTCTCTCCAGTTTACCCACACAATCAGTGAAGTCCCTTTAACTGCATGAAAAGAGAACTATTTCTTGAGACAGTCTAAAAACAAAGCAGCTTACAACAGGCTGTTTCCTCAATCTGGGCAAACTAGGCTTCAGTAATTAGCATTTTTTAAAAAATTTAATCCCTACAGAAAGTCTCTGGTTTGGGTTTGTTTTTGGTTTTGTTTTTTTCAATCCCTCTTAGTTTTCTGCTTTTAGATTAAATACAGTGTGTGCACACACATATAAGCACACAGAAACTCAGTGGAAAATCATCCAAGTTGGAAGAAAAGATGTCAGAATAATATACACAAAATTAAGTTTCACTTACATACAGAATCATAGAATGGTTTGAGTGGGAAAGGACTTTTTGAGGTGATCTAGTTCAACCCCCCTGCACTGGGCAGGGACATACACAGCAAATGACATGGAAAACCCAGAGTGTTCTTTACATGAGAACAAAGTTTCTACCTCTACAAATAAAAGGCTTCATTTCTACCTCTCATTACAAATGCTATAAAAATGACAAGTCACAAAGGACAGATAGAGACTGCTCCACAGTGTCCATTTAAGCAGTATTAAAAACAACACAACCCCCCCACACACAGTTAACAGAATTAATTTGCAATTAACACAATTAATTTGCAACTTTAAGCTTTGATTGAAGAGCTACATTCAATGTTTATATTTAAAACTGTGCTATCTGATTTCAGGTACAAATATTCTCCACAGATTTGTTTTCTGGTGAGAGGGGATTTGCTATGATTGAATATTAACTACTCTGCAACTGGATATGCTAAGAACTTAACATGAAGGTATCACTTAAACACCTAGAGCCTTTCAATACACCAAACTCAACCAGCCATTCTGATGTCTGAGTAGGAGATTTCTAGGAGGTGCTACTATTCTTGTTACCTTTGCAATACCAACTTCAAGAACACAAGATGGCTCAAGTTTCAATCCATGAATCCTGAAAAGACTGGAATGCCTTATGCTGGGTAGCTGAACACTCCAAGACTGGAGGATGTGTTCTTTTGAATTAAATTTTTAAAAGGAAGCTATTTAAACTCAGGACCCTACTTAGCAATTAAGAGCAGGTAGCTCCTATGCTTAGATTCTCAAATAGATATGCTTTATAAAATTCATTTTCAACACAACATGTTAGTGCTAAGTCTTCTTGCTGCCTACAGCTAAGGTTTTAGCAGTGCAAAGCAACTAGGATTGACAAAAAATGCCAAGCTGTTCCAAGAGCATGAAGAACAAACATTACCAACTCCTGATGCATCTTCCACCATGGGGTTTATTTCTATCATGGTAGCATCGTATTTCAGAAAGAGATTATATAATTTGATCATATTTTCAGCTGCTTCATCCACCAGATTAGGAGGAAATCCCATTTTTTGGGCAAGCTGAAAGTAGAAGATTAGTTATCAGTTTGAGGTTTGGGGTATGATTTAGTTACAACTTAGGAATGTCCCAGTTTAGCTATTATTTAATAGAATCTGTAGATGTGGAACCTCTCCTGTCTTCCTGGAAAAAGCTGAAGAGTTTTCACCCTTTAATCCTTTTTTCCTTTGCAAAAGGGCTTGGAAATACTGTTTTCAATACAAAAGACTGTACTCATTCTAAACAACAGTCAGCAAAAAGTAATCAGATGCCTTCACACAGCTATATAAAACCTAAATAAAGCACTGCCATGCAGAGTTTGATTTACATTGTCTATCACCTGAAAATACTCAAATATCTAGTTCAAATCTCTCTCACAAAAAAAATCTGTCAAAAGGCTTTAAGACAACTCAGCAGGCTCAATGCCTGCACACTTGACAGAATTCAGAAACAACCCTCCCTTCCTCACTAATGTGTATTTTT